TTTCAGAAACCTCAAGTGAATCTATATAGCCAGAGGAGGGCAGAATAAAGATTATACATCACAGCCACCACCACCCACATACACACACACACACAAGAGGCCAAGCACCCTGAGACACACCCTGGAGCCCTTATCCTCAACTGATTCCCTGGCTTTATCTTCCTCCTCTTGAAGAGCCTTAGTTTCCCCATCTGCATAATGGGGATGCCGCACTCAGTGGGTGCTATGAGACAGGAGTGCTAGGAAGCACTCGGTGTCCATCTCCTCTGCCTCCCCCAAGCCAGGCCACCCTTGGACTCACGCCCCACAGAGTCCCAGGCTGGAGCAAGGACATGACAGAAAACCCAGGACCCATGAGCAATGCCTACCACTCCTCAGAAGGTTTGGGATCGGGGACAAATCAAGAGAGGCACTGAAGCCTGGGAGAGCACCCTGGTTAATGCATGCCCCATACTGGCACCCGGGGCATGATCCAAGTGAATGCCACCCACACCAGCAGGGTGAGCCAATTGGATGGCTGTAGTCGGGATGGAGAAGACTTCTAGGTCAAGTTCTGCCACTGACTTGCTGAGTTACCAGCCAGGCCTCTGTTTTCTCTTCTGTAAAATGGGGGCCATGAAGAAAAGATGCCTAGAATAAAGCGCCACCACCCAGAGTAAGGGACGCTTCTCTGCAGGGTCTTTCTCTTGGTGCTGACAGCGCCTGACTTTCTGCCGCTGCTAATTCCCTATTACTAATGCTGCCTGCTTTCCTCCCTTCCACCTGACTCAGAAGGTCCACGAGGTGTGGTCTCCCTCCGAGTCTAGGCCCGCCCAGTCAACTGAATTTGACGGAGGGAGGGTCAGGCCACCTCGGCCAATAGGCCCTCAAACAACAGTCTCCCTTGCCTGAGTCAGAGCTCAGCTTTCCAGGGCTGGCCAGAGGGAGCCGGGCATCTTCCCAAGCTCCCAGCTGGGCTGGAACGGCTGTTCCTCCCAGGCCCTGGGGCTGCCCCCCACTACTTCACACAGACCACAAAGGCTGCTGGGAACAAACCTCAGCTCCTGAAGCCCACTCAACCCCAGTGAGGCAAATTCCCACCCTCAGCAGACAGGTGGCTTTGTTCTACACATCCATGCCAGTCAGGCAGCCCCTCGGCTCAGCTGCACCAACGGAGAGCAAAGGTGATATATCCAAGCCTTCAGAAAACTGTCAATACCTAGGACCTTTTAAATCAGGACACTGTGGTTACCCCCTCGAAGGGTTCTAACAGCCTCATGTGTGTAAGAGCCTGAAGCCCTGTCTGGTAAGCCTCATGAGACCCTTACTGCTGTTCTCAAATCTCCAGTGAGACCAGAGAGGCAAAGAGGAGGGTGTCGGTGCTATGAAGATAGCACTAGGACCCAGGAGGGCATCTGGGTTAACAGCTGCAGGAAGAGCCTCCTACGGGTTGAAAATATCCAAAAAGGAAGGGGTCTGCTTTGAGGGAGCATGCCCTGAACTTGGAGGTATTCAGAAGAACACTGGCCGGTGTTCTATGCCAAAAATGTACTCCAGTCCAATAGTTATAGAGAATGTTGGGCTGAAGAAAGGTTAGCAGGTTCTGCCCTGCAGGACTTCTCAGAGCCTTTACTGTGTTAGTGGGCAGTGTGTGTTTCCAAGGGAAGGATACTAAAGCTGTGTTTCCCAAATGGATTTGACTCCAAAGCCCTTCCCCCCAACCTCCACAAAGCATCACTTGACAGTAGAGCCACAACTTCAAGCCACATCTGGCCCTGGAGGAAGAAGAAAAGAAAACAGCTGCCCTAAACATCTGACCTGGAATGAGACAGCTCCATCTCCCTAAAGGGGTGATGGACCTACCCAGGAGGGGCTCTTGGAATCACTCGGAGGTGCTTGAGCACTAATGCTCAACAGGAGGGTACTCTACTTTTCTGGAGGTGGAGTCCCATAGCCTCCGCACTGCTGTGAATTTAAATTCCAAACAAAACCTGGCAGGGAAGACCCCCCACCCTCATGCCACCAACCCCAACTGCCTCTAAGACCTGCCTTCCTCGGGTACCCGGAGAAAGAGAGGAAGGGCATAGACGAGGGCCTCACAAATTTCCCTCCAAAGACATATATTAATAGTTGTTTCCACAGATCAGGGGTTGAAACAGGGGTTCGTTCACAGGGTCTAGTTTCTATACCCAGAGGCCTTTTTAAAAACTGCACCAAGTCCCCGTGTGTGCTTTGGCCTGGCAGGCTTACCACACACTAAGAAACCGAGAAAACCCCCACAAGCAACCAGTCACCCCCCAGTGCCAGTTTCTGCACTTGCCCATGAACTCCACCATCTCCCTCTCTGCTCCCAGGGCCAGTGTTCCACTCAGAACCCTTGGCTTATCTTCAGCTTCCAGAGCTGAGGTTCTAGGGGCACAATGGACTTCTGTGCCCCCATGTCCTCAGCCCCCACCCCCGCCCAAACCCCAGCTGCATTCATGGTGTTCTGCTATTGTGGTGGGAGCAGCCTGGGGGTGGTGCAGAAGGGGGTGGGCTCTTGGCACGCGGACCGGCGCAGACAGGCCATGGTCAGTGGTCAGCATGCAAGTCACATCCGCAGACACTGCCACTGGGCCTGCCAGGCTCTGCACGGAATGGCGGCGCTCCTGGGGCCCTGGGGCCCTTCGCAGAGTCCCTGCAGGCCCACACACAACTTGCTTCCTGTCGGACAAGCCCCTCGGTGGCATTCAGGTGGGGGGTATTTTTCCTTGCCTTCTCAACCAGTTGCTATTTTGGAGCCATATTAGGTCACCAGCTAAGCCCTAGATGCAGGAAAGGCCTGTCCCTAGGAGCACAGCTGGGGCTTCAGGAGGGTTTAGTAGGCGAAACGGGTGAGGGGGAGGTGGTGAGAGCGGGTGAGTCTGAAGCCAAGAGAGTCTTCCGGAAGTCAGCAGGCATGGCCTTCCAGCCCCTGCATGGAAGCCACTGGCCCATGAGCATAGGAGAAGCCCCTCCTTACTCTCCCAACTCAGCTTGTCTGTAGGCACATCCTCTCCTGTACAGCTCTCAAATCTTACACACATCACCCTGGGGGAGAGCAGAGACTACATGTTACAGATAGGTAAACTGAGGCCCAGATAGAAATGAGGGTTCTTCCAAGGTCAGATCATGAGAGAGTTTTTTCCACCATTGCTCTAGGTAACCTTTACCAGCTCCTTCTACACTGGCGTTTGCAAAGGAATGTGCCCCTTCAGTGGGTTCACCGAGGTAAGCAGCTAGCTGAGGCTGCTTAGGGACCCCCACTTGATCTGTGAACCATGGTCTCCCTTCTACCTTTGGGCTCCTACAGGATCCCCATGAAATCACCCACCATTCACACAGTATCATCTTATCTGTCTTCTAATCGGGGGTCCCCATGGGACTCTGGTGGAAACCCCAGGGGGCAAGGCAGAGCTTAAAAATGTTCTGTAAAAGAACAAACAACTGACAAGACCCAGGCACTGTCCTCCAAAGCCCCTGGTCTCAGAAGACAGTTCCCCGAAGAGGAGGCAAAGTCCCTTGTAAGAAAGAAAGATTTCTAGCCAAGAACAATTCCTCACGTGGAGAGAGTGCTTTACAGTTTACAAAGAGTTCTGGAATACGAATGCTGTCGCCTGGCATCAAAGGGTGCTTTCCAGATTCATCTCCCCCAGCTATGCCTGACAGTCCAATACAGGTCAACCATCCCTTCTTTCTGCTGGCCTGCCGTTGGCCCATCTCTAGGCCTCAGGCCAGCAATTCAATAGCCATGTCTTCCCTAGTCAATAATGGCAGAGGCAAACACATTATGGGGTCACAAAGGGTGACCCTCTGTCTTTCCCACCTCATCACCAGCACACTGGTGTATACACAGGTCTTCTCCAGCAAACTGGTAAGGGATTCTGACTCTCCTAAAACTAACTGGTATGCCCTGGTCTAGAAGGCAAGTGCCCCTCCCGTGGGTCCTCTTCCCGGGCCCCGCCCTCTGCACTTTTGCAGGGAGAGCTGCCAGAAGCAGAGTGAGGGAAGGCCACAGAGGGTGTCTGCGGTTCTCACATGAGGCAGGAGTAAGTGCGAGTGGGGCCCAGGAGGAGTCCGGCTGAAGGGAGAGAGGATGGTATCCAGGAAGGCTCTGAAGAGCTCTCCAAGGGGCTGGGAGGTCCTGGCAATCTGGGTATTTATCTAGCTGGGGAAAGATGCAATCTGGGTATTTATCTAGCTGCCCGTCTGACTTTGTAACTGAATCCATCCAACAGGCAGACTTTGCAACGGCAGCCGGCCCAGGTTTCTGGAGAAGGCACTGGGCAGCTGGAACCTCTCCCCCTATCGAGCCCCCTCCCAGGAGCTCAAGAGATTTCCCTTTCATTTCCTTCCAGGCTGGAAGGGCGGGGGACAGCACAGTCTGTGGGGTCAAGCCCTCAAAAACCACTTCCTATGTGGCTGGGGGAGGGCGAGCGGCTGAATAGTGTTATCTGGGGGTCCCTGCGTGAGAAGAGCAGAAAAATTCTGCGGGTGAGTCACTGCTCTCCAGAGTGCCCGTCGGGTCGGGAACAACCGAAGTCGGAGGAGAAAAGATTTCAGGGCCCTCCCGAGGAACTCGGAGAAAATCCACACTCTCCGTCCCAGCGAGCGGTGGCCAAGAGGGGGATGGGATTGGGCGTGGGAAGGACACTTGGAAGGGGCTCCCCGCACAAGCCGCGCCCGGGCTGTCTGGAGACAATCCGGAACCCACCCACCCGGTCGGGCCCCTCAGCCTCCTTGGAGCAGGGCGCCCCAGGCTGGGAGAGAGGGAAGGAGGGCTCCACCCGCCCCAGAGCTACTCCGGGCCGGGCTCAGCGGGGAGGTGACGCGCTCCCGGCGCCCCGGGGACTTCGGGAGGCGAGTTTGGCAGAGCTGAGCGAAGTCAAGCCAAGCAGGGCCGGGCAATACGGAGCCGGGCCGGGCCAAGCCAGGAAGAGCTGGGCAGATAGAAAAAGGCCCTGCGCGGTCGCCGGAGGGCGGGGGCGCGCGGGGGCACCCACCTCTCCGCGCTGCAGCTGGAAGAAGCTGTTGAGATAGCTGGAGTGCAGGGGCGAGCCCAGCTGCTCTGGGCGGCCCTTGCCGAAGGCCAGCTCTGGGGGCGCGGCGCCGGCGGGCGGCTCTGGCCGGAAGGCATCGAAGGCGCTCGCCTGGTGCGTGTCCTGCAGCGACAGGTAGACCCAGTTGAGCAGCTGGGTCGGCTGGTACACCGAGGCGGCGCTCGTATCGATGGCCGACAGCAGGCTCATTTTGCGGCGGCGGTGCCGGCTCCCCGCCCCCCACCCCGGCCGCCCGCTCGCGCCCCCCCCTCCAGCGGAGGGGCGGGCACCGGGGAGCCTGCGCCCACTGCCGCCGCCTGAGCCCGGACGGCGATCGCCTGCACCCCGCGCTCAGCCCGCAGCCTCCGCCGCCGCCTCCCCCCAACTGCAGCCGCAGCGCGCGCGGGCGGAGGAAGGAGGCAGCGAAAGTTGGGCAGGAAACTTTTGGGCCCGCCCCCTCTGAGCCGCCCGCCCCGCCCCGCCCGGCGATCCGCTATCTGCCTCTGTGCTGACCCCTTCAGCGGCCGCTGCTGGGGTGGGGTTCTATGAGGCCCCGCCCCTTGTGGCACTATCCTCGCCTTTCATTGGCTGTCTCATTGAATATAGAGTAGCGGGGGCGGGGTGAGAGGGGGGAAGGGGAGCTCATCTACATAGGTAGCACGGTGCGGGCCCGCCCATGGGCGGTCCTCTTGCAGTCCCCGCCCGCTGTGTGCGGCGGGCCCACCTCCCCAGTTCTGCAGGAACCCTCTGCTCCCCGGGCCTGATCTGTCCAGGCTTCCTCTGCTTTCGGCTTACTGCTGTCTCTTTCCAACTCCTTTACAGTTACTTCATTTTCACTTGTTTTTTCCCCCTATTTTCTTAGCTTCCACATACTCTCCTTTCTCTCAGACTAACATCTCCTGTGTCCATCGTCTCTGTCAACTTCCTCGGCGGATCTGTTTCAGTCTCCAGTCTTTAATACATTCGTCTAGTCTGATGTGTGTCTGCCTCTCCCCTTCCCCTCTCAGACCCAGACACACGCGCGCGCGCGCACATACACACACACACACTCACACACACATCTCCCTCCTCTCGCTATCACCAAAGGACCCTCCCCCTCCCACTTAATTCCTTCCATCTGCAGAATCGTTTTTCGGGTCGGCGTAGCCAAGGGGGGCCTGGGTTCCTGCCCCAGGAAGGACTCCCCGCCCCCTTCCCTAGCCTTCCTCCCTCCCCCTCTCTCTTCTCCTATTTCTGCTCCGCGGCCACCTCACTTCTTGCACTTTTCCTTCGCCCGGACCCCGGGTCCCAGCCCACCCCAATGCCTCTGCGGGTCGCCAGGACTCTAAATGAGTTTGGGGAACTGAGGAAGACATCTGTCACTCTGCTCCCCAGGGCAGCCCAGCTAGTTGAAGTATGCCTGGGGTGGGAGGGTGGGGGCCTCCACAACCATCCTTCGCCCCGCCCCGCCCGACACACTCCGAAGCCCCGAGGCCTTCACCTTCTCAGACTTAGGTAATCTTCGGGCGCCTGCGCTGCGCCAGCGCCAGGGACCTAGCGACAAGGCGCCTAGAGGGGGACGCGAGTCACCTCTCCAACCTCCAGTGGTTCTGGAGCCATTCAGCCTGGCGTTCAAGTGCCAGCTTGGCCTCCTTCCAGATGAGTGGCCTTGCCGTTGCGCCTAACCTCTGCTGATGAACCTTTCTCTTCTGTAAGATGGGGAGGGTCACTGTCCTACCTCTAGGAATATTTGCGAGCTTACCAGTTTGAGCTTGAAAATCAGAAGGTCAGCTCTCTGCTATCCCCTCGAAGAGGTTTTCTCCCACCACCTGCATGGGCACACATCTGTGGATGCTGGGAAGTGAAAGGACTTCAGTGGTGACCAATTGCCAGCCACCCTTTCTAACCATGTCACCAACCAAGAACCCCTTGGATTTTTTTTTTTTTTTTTGGTCTCATTTGATTATGTTTTCAAAGATTTTGTCTATCAAACAGTTTGGGATTATTAAAACAAATGATAGCACACATACAAATCTTAATATTTTTCATCATCAGAGACACATGTATATAGTACCCTTTATATTTTAAACCTATTAGCTGAAAGAGAAAGTACACATTTGTTGGGAATAAATGTTACAACCATTTACTTTTGGAAACATTTGGGATCATCTCTGGAATTCTGATACTATCTTTAAGGTTCCAAGGGGAGGGGCTGTATAGGATTTGGAACTACTGACCTAAACTTTCCCTAAGTTTTACAGAGAAAACTGCTAGTCAGAGAGGAGACATCTTCCAATTGCACATCTTCCAATTCCAAAAGCAGGCAGTTGGGGAGCCTAAAGGAGACCCCAAGTTTCGCAGCACTAGCCCAGAACTCTGTCTCTACCCACTACTCTTCTTCTGGGCAAGGATAGTCCTGTTATCTTGGGTTACAAATTCAAATTGCTTTAGAGACCAGGCAGGTACCAGGCAATAAACAGGTAATGATGGGGCATGTGGAGAAACAAACTGTTAGCCACACAAAACCCCACTGCTGTGGTTCTCAGCCTCAGAGAGCCTATGCATCTCAGGCACCTGGTCTGGGATCCCCTGTCCCTAAGGACGATGTGATGCTGCAAGCGTACTGGTCCTACCTGGTGACCACACTGGTGGCCTCTGCCCTCTTCACCACCACCCCCACTCCATAGTTCCTACACAGGGCCTGTACATAGATAGGAGATGATCCAAAAATGTTTGCTAGGTCAATGGTTGGATGGAGGGATTATGGGAGCCAGATAATTCTCCCCTTTGAAGCCTGAATGGCTTCTTTGCTTTGTACTTTTCTCCCTCCCCTTGCCCACAACACACCTGCTCAACACGTGGGCTCTGTACCCAGTCAGTGATCAATAAATTTGAGCAACTGACAGGCAGTTTGCCTGGATAGCAGCTGACTGGGTCCCTCATATCCCTGAGGCAACCCTTCCCATGGGATGGAGGGTGATGGGTAAGAGTGACAAGATAGGTATCAGAGGCCTGGGTCCCAGGATAAGAAGATGGGTCCAGGCCCAAACTCTGTGCCTCCCCATGCCCCATCATGTACACATTAAGAAACCTTGCATTCAAAATGTCAGAGGGGCCTTTCCTGGTGGTGCAGTGGATGAGAATCTGCCTGCCAGTGCAGGGGACACAGGTTCAACCCCTGGTTCGGGAAGATCCCACATGCTGAGGAGCAACTAAGCCCATGAGCCGCAACTACTGAAGTCCACGCACCTAGAGCCTATGCTCTGCAGCGAGAGGCCACCACAGTGTGAAGCCTGAGCACCACAAAGAATAGCTAGCCCTGCTTGCAGTGACTAGAGAAAGCCCATGCAAAGCAATGAAGACCAAACACAGCCAAAAATAAAATAAATAACTTTTTAAAAAATGTCAGAGGTCCTACCTCAAGCCTTCAGGTTACAGAGAAGGAAGCACCCTGACCCAGAGAAAGAAAAGAACTGGTCCAGGGTCACCCAGGAAGTCTGAGGTCTAAGCCACCTGCTCCTAATCCAATCCACATCTAACTCGCTCTTCCTTGGCCCTCGTCTGGCAGTCTCCTACTTGGCCACTCTGGCCCCTACACCGTCCTCAGGACCACAGGGAACTCTCAGATGAGGGTTGGATCCATGTCCCATTCCCTTTCCATCCAACTCCATCCACCCTGCGGTCTCCAGGATGGGACAACAGAGAGAAGACACGGTTTGGAGAAAGGAAACCTGGCTGAGTGGCTTTGGACAAGTCTCTGTTCACTCTGTAAACCTCAGTTTTCTCAGTTAGTGCCCGACAGGGTCAAACAAGGAGGCAAACAGTAAGGTGCTTTGCTAGCTGGGAATAAGCAATCATGTGGGAAGGAAGTGTGGTATTAATAATTTCAATAAGAGTGATATTCAACTTTCCTGGCATGGTGTTTGGAGGAAGAGGACCCATGTAGGGAAGTGTCTGCCTCTAAAGTGGCCCAGGCAACAGATTTGATAGGTCCTTGGTGGCATTTCAAACCATGAGCTTTGGGGTCTGAGCAGGAGAAACTTTGGACAGAAGAGCAAGCAAGGATCTAGGGTGGGGGGAGGGATGGGGGTCTTGGGCAGGGGAGGGGGAAGAGGGACAGGAATCAGCCTTCAATTTGGGCTTGAAAGGCTGGCAGAGATGAGCAGAGGAAGAAGGGACTTCACAGTCCTGTGCAAATTGATGTTGCTTATTTCACTAGAAAACATCCCATGGTGATTTGTAATGCAAAGAAACCCCTAACCCTCTTGAACCCACCTGCACTCCATGTGTCAGGAATTAAACAGCTGATACCCACTGGGAAGGCTGACGTTTGCCTTTCCTCTGGGCCGGGGCTGTGCACTGGGCTCCTTTGGGCTGTGTGTTGACACAGAAGGTGTCAGTTTACAGCAGTGATAGCAAAATGGCAAATACTCTCCCTGCACACTCCACTGCCCCATCCCCCAGTGAGGGCAGAAGTCACTGAGCGCAGCACTCCTTCCCAGATGGGACTCCAGACTCCATCTCCACCCAGCACTCTGGGTTTGCCACTAAGAGTGGAGCTGGTCCACAAGATGAAAACTATTTGCCACCCCTGACGCAAATCCACCATCCCAAAGAACACTCTGACACATATGGGGACTTTGTGTAGAATTAGAAAGAGGCTGCGCTCAATCCCAGTGGGCTCAAATCTTGTATACAAGTCACCTTTGTACAGACACACAAAAGGTAATCCTTCTTCCCATGGATGCAGCTCCCTTGTTGCCAGGGTCCAAGACTTGGTAAATGCCAGCTAGAGTTTGGTACCCACCAATCCCAGATATGGTTGTGCAGTGCTCTGATGAGAAAACCAGAGGGCCAGCCTCATCACTCCAGGCCCCGCTCACAAACTCTTGTCCAGAAGGGAACCACACAAAGTGGGCAGAGCCGTGAACCTTGAACTTAGCTGGCCACTGCATGCAGGTTTGGAGCTTTGAAAAGTGCCTGGGCCTTTGGAATCTACCCCCTTTCTCACTGTGTGACAGTGGTAAGCTGAATATCCTCTGCTATGCAGTTTCTTCATGTATAAAATCTTTCCGCTCCTTGAATTCCAAGACACAGGAAGGACTTGGACAACCTGATGGCCCTGGCCCTTGGAAGGCCCTCAGAGAGTGCTTGCCCAGTTTCAAGCCTAGATTCTGTGACATGGATGCGAGGGGCACGAGCTTGGATACATCCAAGGGTTCTCAGCCCAG